CTTCATGAACCAGTCACGTGGTACAGCCGGGCAGCGAGGCTTCGGACGTCATCATTTTCAGCTCCTCCCATAAATGAAGCCCCGGCCAAAATCCTTTCCACGCCCACCCCCGTGACATCACGCTTCGAAGCCTCGAAGAACGTCACATCACTACCTTGCAACGGAATTTAAGACTAAACCAACACTAGCTTACTGGAAAAACGACTTAAACCTGTTGGTTAAATCTTTGACTTTAGTTAAAAAGAAAAAGGCTGCTTTTTTGTTTCCTTTATGGAAGATTTTGATTTAGTGAGTTAATAATTTGTTAAATTATGTGACCCCATCTTTATATTTTATTTTCACTATGTATGAAAGTTGCTAATATGTAAGAAATGTCTATTCTCTGAATCTGTAATATATGGTGCATTTTGTTTGTATGTTTATATTACTAATAAAAAAATAAAAAAATAAAAAACCTTGCAACGGAAGAGGTTGGAAGTTCACTTACCGCATCCCGGAATTGTCATCACGCCGCTCGTTCTCGGCCATTTTTACAAGTGCAAGCTCCGAAATATAACATACAATACAACTCAGTTGTTACCGTTAATATATTCGGAGTACGCTACCCCACTGATACGTGTAAGTAAGCTTCTTTTAGCATGATTATATGCTATGTCTTCACTGCGATGTCTTCTTTTTCAAGTAGTTAGTACTAATGCTGATGGCTGTTGTTGTCTTCCCAGCTAATGCCAGGCTAACATATCGACATGCTAAAGCGTTAACTAGCCAACGTTAAACTGCGAAGTTGGTTTGGAGGCCTTGGTTAATTTATGTAATGGTGAATTTACTTTAGGTACAGCAGCCTTTTATTGCCAACACGTTTCAAAGCAACAACGTGCCACCGTTGTACTAGCAGCAACGTTCCTTTCTAGTTTATTAGCATTGCTAATTGTCGTTTAGCCTCGTTCGTTGCTAGCGAAGACGTTAGCTTTAGCTACCTTTATTAACAAAAAATGTTTATACAACAACCTTTTACTCCTTTAACTTGAAGATTTCACCCGGATAACTCACTCTACCGTTATATTTAAAGCAAGTATGCTGTTTGTACGGTAATCACGGCCAGTGTTTTGTATGTGTGTGTGTACGCATTGCGACATGACTAGGTGAAGTCATTGTTAAAGCCCGCTTGTTAAGTCTTTCTGGCATTATAACAGTGCTAGAGAATAAAATCATTCAAAGGGCTGACTAAAATATACCCTTTTGTTGCTGTTAACGTTAGGCGTTGTTTCTCAACATTACACACATATGTTTTATGAAGCTCTCAAAAGGCATCGTTTTCAGATGTAATCTTTCGATTTATTGTGAAAGTCTGAAGCTAAACCCTCATTTCTTTATACTTTACATAGCTTAGCATGGTGTGTAGTATATTCATAAATAGTTGAGGGAAACTATCTACAGCAGATAAACAATATCTGGAAGACATGTCCTCAAGAAATAAGAAGAAAAATCATCAAACACCTGACACAGGATATGAGAAATGCATCAGGATGGATCAGGATGCCAAAGCATCATCATAAATTGTCTCAGTAGAATGCAACACTTTTTTAGCAGAATACGAAGAAATGAGAAGGAAAGTAAAGAATCAAAATTCCTGCACAGCACTATTATACATTACTATCAAATTGTTATCATATTAATCACAAAGTCATTACTAATCAGTAATAACCTGATGAATAATCTATATGTAATACAGGAGACATTATAACATCTTTGATAATACATTGAGATATGTAAAAAAAAAAGTAATAGTTTAAAGGGACATTAAGCAATCTTTATATTAAGGATTACATTTCTTATTCTAGCACAATGTTATCCAGTATAGTGTAAGATTTGTGTGTATTTGGCTTTTGTCAGGAGAATTTTGGGAGAACCCAATATTGCCTGATTGATGACATTTTTATTAATAGCATTTTAACCCCTTTCTCAGGAATAGCAGTCATGTCGGACTTTATTGAAAGTGAGGCAGAAGAGTCAGAGGAGGAGTTTGAGGAGAAGGACTTAAAACCTAAGAAGAACCAGAGATTTTTGGAAGAAGATGGTAAGATCTGATTTCTTTAAATTTGGGAATGTGTGTTGAAGTTGTATGGCATGTGGACCCCTCATCTGTCATTTCTCAGCAGATGAAGAGGAAGAAGACGATAACCCAGAAGACCAGGATGAGAAAGGGAATTTACGTGGCTTCATTGATGATGGAGACGAGGTAGAAGAGGAGGAAGAAGCAGAAAAAAGTGGAAGTGGCGGGGGGAGTGATTCAGAGGAGGAAGTGAGGCGTCGACATAAAAAAAAGCGCAGTAAGTTCACCTGGTGTTTTTAAAAAATTGTTAAACCTGTGTGATTAATTACATATATCTATTTAACCTGTCCAGTCAATAGAGTGAAAACACTCATGCCCCATTATTATGCCATATCACACCATATTAGTGAGTGGAAGATGATCTTGGTTACTTCAGTCTTGCAGCCATGTTGGTACCCTACTAAGCAGCAATTTTGAATCCTATAAGTAATGCATTGAAGGAGAACCATAGGGCCACAGTATACCCACCGCTTTGGTCACTCTGCACTCTGCTGAGAAGGTCATGACACAATCAAATCCATTTATCCATCTATGTTCGCCATTATAGCGCTGGTAGCAGCTGCAGTATTCTCCTGAATAATAGGTGTTGCCTGAGTGGCACCATGTAAAGGAGAATTAAAGGCAGTGCCTGTTTTTCCAGAAAATCTGTCTTTTTAAGCAGTTGCAACAACTCTCAGCTTCTGTACTGATGATACATCATTAAAAAATTGCAAAACTGACACGATCGGGTGTGACAATGTGTCCCCAACCCAGCAGCGGCAGCACTATGCATCAGGTTACAAAAATCGAGGGGTGCATGACCATTAGAAATGGGGACTTGCAACAGCAGGTGTGATGTCGTTTTTATCCTATGGTGTTGTTTGCCAGCCACCACATGGTATGTTTAGTGGAGTCTTAACGTTCAGGCCAGTGGTTTCCAGGACAGAAAAACTGTATGCATTAAATTACTAATCAAGTCTGTTCAAAAGTGCTTTCAAAGGTTTAGTGACTTTGCCCACAACAGAGTTTTAAAGTTACCACAAATACACAAATTTACCCAATATTATGGCTTCATTAGCAGGTTAATCTAGAGTACCAACATCAGAACAAATGATATGCTGATTCGAGTTATAGGTGCAGTAAGGCCTCAAAAGTGAAAACATTTGACTATATCTTTTCTACGGTAATGAGTTGACACTCCTGCCCTATTATAAATGCTTTTTTGTATTTCTTTCTTTCTTTCTGAGACCAAATGTAGTCTGTATAAACACATTGCTTGATTAATTGTGATCATTTGGCTCGGTTCCTTGAGAAGTTGACATTAAATATGCCAATATATTAAAGGTTACTGCAAAAATTAAGTAGTAGAAAAATGTTAAATGAGGTTAGTAATTTTGGAAAAGCGGTACCTTTTACTTAGGTGGTTGAGCAAGGAGCACTGATAGATTTTAAGATATAACATTTTCAATTATGTTCTTAGCATAATATTAAATCTCTGAAATTCTGATGCCTGCTCTGGCAGAAAAGTACATTTTATTTACAAATATAGGATAAACAAAGTATATTCTGTCACATCTTAACTGAAAAATAGCCTCATATTGTCATTTTTACAGGTACCTCAGCCAGTAGTGTATT